GGGGGAAGGAAGAAAAAGGCAGATGAAAACAGAAAGAACAGAGAGTGAATGAGTAAGGCGCTGCGGTCCAGTTGATATTTCAAATGCTTTGAAGCATTTTTTGATTGGACAATCAAATGCTTTGAAGCATTTGTAGCGTCAAACAAATCGCACCCTCAGTAAGAGAACGAGTGAATGAGAGGAAGAGAGAGGGTGAGGAAAAGAGGGAGAGATCTCGAAACTCTAAAGCGCGAGATCCAGTATTCACTGCCATCGCTATTATCGACACTTAAAAAAAACAAAAACAAAAAAAAAAGAAAAAATTGTGTTAATTCGAACAAGGATTAGATGAAAAAATATAGACGTAGGTATTTATAAATACACTTGTCAGAATATTGGCAATGACTTTTGAAATTCCGTTTAGTGGCTGAAAAGACTTGGTTGGCTGAAACATATGGTTGGCAGATCACCAGGTCATTACCAAAACACGTACATATATATAACATACAAAGCAATTCTATTTGTTAACACGTTGAATGCCGTATTAAAATTCAATAACAAACGTATAATATTTAAATTTAGACTAAACACATTCTTTAGACACTTTTGTGTGATTGAAATTCGGTTCGGCGCGTCCTCTTTAGCGCCAAGCTATGACCGTGTCTCCTGATATAATAATGATTTTATGTCTTAAAATGCAACCAGCTGTATTTAAAGAGATGCGCAAGTATTTAAATAGCCAATTATATCTATTATTATATTTATTTATATAAAAATTTGTATTTGTTCATCGCATATTGCACGTGCAATTGTAGACACAGGTTTAGACTCGTGTAACATTAAGAGCCAAAATTCGCACGGCATCCAACGTATTTCTATCGAAACTACAAAACTACATGATGTTTTCTATAAAACCGCAATGCACAAGCATACTTGTATTTATCGTAATTAATTCATATTTAATAAAACTGAATAGCCGTATCCGTATTAGCAAATATCCGCTCCCGATGTTCCCGATTCCAATTGTAATGCGTTAATTTAATAAATACTCTTATTAGTAAGAAAAATAAAGTAGACGAATAAGTAAGTGAATACATGAATAATTAAACTATTAAACAAATAAAAATTAAATAAAAACAAATCTGCTTTGCTATCGCAATTTGTTTAACAAGAAAAAGACAAATAAAGATCGATATCATGAAACGTCATACTTACGTCATTTTAAACACGATTTATTATCTATAAAATACTTAACTCAAATACGATGTACGATTTCGTTCTTTCTCGGAATTAATAAAGAGGAATTAGTAAAATTTGCAGATCTAAATGATTTGAATGAAATATATTAATTGTATATCTTTGCTCTTTTATGTACATTTACCCAGTGAGAAATAATCGCCAATTCGATGTCGAATCGATATCGAATCGACGTCGATTATACGGTGATTTCGAAATCAATTCGACATCGAATTGAAAACCATTTCTCACTGGCTAATATAAATCTGATTTATGATTTTATTTATTTGAACAAATGTTTAACAGATTTTGTAAACTGCTAAAAATTATTCTAATTAGCCAGTGCATCATTAATTTCTTGAACATTTAATATTAATATGTTAACGTATTTTCGTCATTAACGGATTATATCAAAATCCACTAACATAAACTAACATATATTCCCAGATGATATACATAGAGAATTTTCAAATTATTTTTTCTTCTCTTCTGATCTATAATTCCTTTGAAATTTGTAATTTGTAAAAATTCGTTTGGAATTTGTAAAAAAATGCAATAAGAATACTTCAAGAAGTTAGCATGCACCATGTTTAAAAACTTTTCTAAAAACTTTTTTAAGCATCTTATAGAGATGTTTTATATCAACAGATATATGTATGTATACTTTAGAAATTCATAAAAGACAGTCTTTGGAGAACAGTGAAAGAGAAGGACATTATATATATGATTTTTGTGGGCAAGATGCGAAAAACCGAAAGAAATCTGAAGGCTAATAATTCGCTAGATTTGACGGTATAATTGATTTTAATAATTTGTAATTTCACATGCCTGTAAAAATAGAGCCTTGCCTTTGTTTGCCTTGTGAAAAGATAAGCGCAACATCGGCAAATGATAATATGAGCACGTGGCTTATTGATGCGCGATTCACATTCAATTCATGCAGATTCTAGTTTCGGCGGTAATCAGAAGAGTAAACTTTGGAACCCCTAGATTTATGACCGGCAGTAAAACCCAGTCAATCAATTACTTTTGCATACTTAGATAGGTTGGATTTGCTATTTGAGCCTGTCTTCAAATCGATTGATTCGATGATTCGTGTCCGACTGTGTTTTGTTTTCTGTTTCAAATTCATGTACCAGATTATACGTGATTCATGATGATTTGCATCCTTTGATTCGTAAAAAGAAAAACCGCTTTGTTAACGAATTGATAAGAATAGATGAATGCAAACTCGAATATGTCAATTTGTATTATTCGCAAATCTAATACGAATAGCAAATTGCAAATTATTTCGAACTGCCTCGAATCACGATTCTAAATAAATTAAAAACGGAACTCCCTCGGGATCTGTTTCATCAATCGAACGCGACTTATCACACATACGGGTTACGTTTTGTTTCATGATGCGCACAATGTATATACCATTTTATTCTTGATTGACAACTTGTTTTGGTTAATAACAAAGATAAAATGATGCATCATGCGCATCGTGCGTGAAACAGAAAAATGCAGCCACGATTTATAATACATACATACTCTTATATGTATAAACATTGTACCAATAACAAACTTTTTATTATCTTTTATTTAAATTAAAAAAATAAAAAAATAAAAAAAAAAGGGGAGTGATTGCGCACAAATACAATTGCAATTCCCAAGAATTTATTCTATGGCTTGAATAAGATTAAATAACGACAAATAATTTGTAGTGTTTATTTATCCCGATTATAATGCTCTCTTGGTACAATCTTACATACACTCTATGGTAATAGTTTATATATACAGTGTTCTGTCTTTTAAAGAAATGTGGGAACAAATATAAACTTTCGTGAAAATTTCAATTTTTTTTCTTTTGGAGAAACATTATAAAATCTTAACATGTACATACATATAGGAATGCAATTTTTAGGACACATAGCGTTATCTATCTAGCTGCATCAAAATGCTGCATCAAAAAACAACACTGATACCGAAAATCGCACACGCTAAGGCTGAGAACGATATTAATTAAGTAGTATTAAAAATTGTGAACTTTCTACCTTTTGAATTCTCCTGGAGTATCACACTTTCTAGAAAACAAAAAGAAGTGATACTGCAGCCTTTGAGAAAGGATATCCAATTGGATGACGATAAATGATAACGTCTGTGAGCGTCAGGACGTTATTCGGACTTCGGTTTCGTGTCTTCTTTGTAATGCAGCAGTACAAGGGAGAAGAGGAACACGCCGGCCATCATGGAGAACGCGCTTATGTAGTAAGGAAACGCGCTCGGTATGAACCGTTCGTATTGCGTGTGCTGCAATGGGCGCACGGATACTTGTGTTGTACTGTAAAGATGCGTTAGTCCGATGCGCGTATAGTCCACTTTGAATTGGTATACCCCGTACACATCAGGGATTTTAAATCTACCCTCGTAGCGGCCGTTCCCCACCGGTTTCATGGTCATACGCACGAATGGATCGATTCGCACAAATTCCAACTGGAGATCATTCGTCTCGTAAGGCACCCACTTACCGTCTGACAGCCGCTCAACTTCGATCGAGTACACCACGTTGTCCATAATTGTATACGCGGCCGGCGGCTGCGTTTCGCCAACCCGATGATGGTGAACGGACGATACGCGTATAACACCGTTCTCCTTGAACACCCATTGTGCCATGGCCTTGGCTACCAGCTGATTACCAGACTTTTCATATCTCTGACCACCTGCAAGCGATCGATTTTTTTTTTTTAAGTCTCACATATTTCTAACGAATGAGTTGAAAAAATTTAAATTGAACAAAGATTTTTTTTACCTTGTCCTTTTTGAATAGGACTGGTAAATGCTTCGTCACTGAAGAAAAACAGCGATCCTGAGAACAGAACTCGGGCATTATTTCTTGCCTGCAGAGCTGCTACTAGCAAAGTATTTTTGCCAACACCGTGTGGATACTCTTTGACTGGTTGATCCGGATAATAGGTATATGCCGAAGTGGACGCTGATAATAAGCGTAAAATTAACGGATTATCCGTGTCCGCGATCAATCCAGTTCCCTGATATAACAATGGAGGGATGTTCTTGCTTCCAACAATAACTGGAGCATCTATCAAATTTGCTGGATCTGCTACTATAGTAGTGTGTTGGCCACTGTCAGAAACGTCATAGTTCATATGATCAATTACAGTGGAGCCCTCCTCGTCTACCTCTAAGCCACATTCTGAAGCCAATTCGTGCACAGCATCGCCAGATTGTGAAGAGCCAGCAACCAGAACATTTCCGCCGCCATCTATAAATTCTGTTATTGCATCTACGCTCAGAGCACCACCAAACTCTTCCACTGTAGGTGCAAATATTATCAGATGTTCGTATAAATATTCGCCATACTTGGAGAGCTGCAAAGTTGCATCGTCAGCTGACTTGAAAGTCAATGCATAACCGCTATCTGTAACAATTTTGAAATATATTACTTAATATCGTTAAGTTTATCAATCAAATTTCAATTAATTTTGCTTCTTAATAATAATAATAATTAGTAATTAAAATAAGTGAATGATGTTAAATAACCATTATAAAGTACAAATATTAGGTTAAAAATAATTTGATATTAATTGCATTAAAAATTCCTAAAGAATATTTATAATTATTTTTTGTTCTCAATCAAATAAATTTTAAAGGTATCAAAGATATAATAATAATAAAAATCAATCTAATCTCTCGATTAGATTGAAATGGATCAATATTCTACGTTTTGACATAGTTTCTGAACATGTGGACGTAAAAAAATTGAAACAGATCGAAACATTTATTATTAATTATCAATCTCTATGCTTCCAGATGCAGTTAATGTTCCACACACATCATTTAACGTGTAAATGATGTGTAATGTGTAATACACGCGAGAAATAGTGCTTAAGACAGCCGTCAGCGATTTGAAGGTTAGTGAAGATTAGAGAGATAAAGTGCGACAGTACCCTGCAACATTTTGAAGAATATCGAATGAGTCTCCTTGATCGCGAGATTGTCAAGCAGGACTAGGATCGGGCCGCCGGCATTCGAGCCGGCGAACATGAGGAATAGGCAGAATAACCTCCCCATGAGCTCCATCGCGTACCACTTGTAATCAAAAACTTGCCACGGCACCGGGCACACGTCACAGTCAACCGGTCGACTCGCCGACGTTGATGGCACGTCCGCAAACGCAGCGACAATGTGTCTGTACCATAGATAAACTATACTATATAGATATACATATACCATATATCTTTTTTATGCTTTTCCTCCATAAGGAAGATTTACTTCTTATGGGCGGAGGGATGATAGATATTTAATTTAATTAAGGCTGTGTTCGGAAATATCACCCGAGTGCTCCCTTGTATCATTTTATCCTTTTTATACACCAAATATTGAACAAGGATAAAATGATGAATTCCGCTTATAAGTGCGGTTCGAGTCTCCGCTAAGTGAGGTTCGAATCTTCGCTAAGTGAGGTTCGAGTCTCCGCTAAGTAGGGTTCGAGTCTCCGCTAATAAATTGGATTTGTGTTTCCGGCCTGCTTCGGCGCCGTCTTCGCTAGTACAGTAATTTAATGGTTATGCACGTGTGGTACATGTATGCACTTGTATAGTACGTTACTACGTTCTCTACATGTGGCGTTAATTTTCTATCGTTATAGTTTATTTTATAAGTAAACATTTAAGGTAATTTATTTTAAATTAAGATGTGACACATGATTATAATTGCAATAAAACGTTCCTAAAAATGTTTGAAATTTATAATCAATAATTCAGCTCTCAAGATGAGAGTACAACTCATTTAGTTAACCTAACCTAACACCCTTATTAATGTTATATTAATTAATCATAATTATAATGGCAATTGTTTCGGTTTATTTTAAATAATTATTATTTGAAATATTTTTAGATGGCACTGGAAAGTTTCCCTCGGGGAGGAAAGAAACCTGAAATTAAGAGATCGGCGAATCTGGTAAATACATAATTTCTTTATTTCTCGGAATAATCTGTTTTATATATTTTTAAGAGAAAATTAAGTTGTAATATTTTATTTAAAAATGTTACAGTAATGTATATTCTTTATTGAATTATTAAATTATGTATATATGTATTTGGATATCTATTTCATATTTTTCTTATTGATATTTTACTGGTATAATTTTATGTATAAAAATTTATAATTATATAGATGCAACTGATAATAATGTTTTTGCCTTAGCCATTTGAGGAGAAGCTTAAATCCAAGAAGCGTAAAACGCAGGCAAAGAAAAAAAATGAAAACAATGTAATTGAGGTGGAAACAAATCTCATTGCCACTACTGCAGATCGATTATTGAAAACCATGCTACGTGAAGGACTAGTACTGCTTGGCCGGGTTTCTAACGTATCGGAATATGACTTGATAGTGTCTCTACCAGGTGGATTCCTAGGACGAGTACAAGCCACAGATCTCAGCCAATCCTACACAAATCTGTTGCAAGATATAATTAATGCAAAAGCCGTCCAGTCGAATGAATTCAAGCCTTTACCAGATTTATATAAACCTGGTGATTACGTAACGTGCTACGTCAAAAGTATAAATGTTGAAGATAAATGGTTCTGTGGTTTATCTATGGAGCCACAATTGATAAATCAGAATGTTCATATCAGTTATCTTGCGGAAGATATAAAGGTGATTTGTACCGTCAAGAGTATAGAGGATCATGGTTATATAGTTGACACAGGTATAGCTAATGTCAGAGCATTTGTTGCTACTGGAGATATTGATAAAGGAAAGCAATATTGTAAGTATAACTAATTCTGTGTATAATGAATAGTATCATGTATTTATTACAAAGTAATTTATTAATACCATGAATTGTATAGTTCCAGGCTCTCAACTTTTGTGTGCTATCAAGGAAATAAAAACAGTAGATCAAACGTCTGTCGTCACGTTGTCAACTAAAAGAAAGAAGATGTACAGTACTAACGTACATGACATAGCGTCTTTAGATGTTTTAACACCGGGAATAAAATTGTCACTTTGCATAACTAAAGTGCTTTCGAATGGCCTGCAAGTTACTTTTGGGAAAAATAAGGTTGGATATGTAAATCGAATTTATTTGAATAATCCTTTATCTACATATGTAGATAATATGGAAGTGACTGGCACATTATTATACATATTGCCAACTGTGAAATTAGCGTATTTTAGCCTAGTAACTGATGTATCTGAAAAGGAAAGATTGCATGTAGGTAATATTATAGATAAGGCGAAAGTTTTATACAGGGAATCTAGTGGGATAATTCTCAAGTTATCTAAATCTGGGCTACGTGGATATATCTCTTTGCGAAGAACTAACGTCCCCTTCGCTAAAATTCCAACCGAGTTCAAAGAAGGTTCCACACACAAGTGTAGAATACTTGCATATGACTGGATGGAACACTGCTATGTCTGTACAATGGAAGAAGAAATTTTGAAACAGAAATATTTTTCAGCTTACGATCTTAGTATTGGCGATATCCTCACTGTGACTATCACGCATATCGAAACAGCTCGTGGCTATGTACACGTACAAGCAGGAAAGATTAGGGGAACTGTTCCAGTGGAGCACATATCCGATCGCGGCTTAAGTGCTTTATGTAAATTGAAAATCGGTGATACTGTCGAAGCGAGAGTCTTGGATAAATATAACGATAAGAATCAAGCAAAATTCACATTGAAACAATCGCTGATAAAGAGTAAGTTGCCAGTTTTACATGATTTTGGCGAAGCCGAATGCGGATTAAAATATCATGGTACGATTAGCTTGATAAATAAGAATGGCTTATTGGTGAAATTTTACGGAACGGTAAAAGGATGGGTCTCGCGCATGACATTAGATAGAAATACATATAACATGAACTGGAATTTCTCTGTTGGCCAGACAGTTACAGCGTGCATTGAATCAGTAGAAAAAGACAAATGTAGAATGGAATTAAGAATCGTTCCCGAAGAAGAGAAACAATCCGTTAGCTTCTCGATCGGAGAGACGGTCGAGGGAACAGTGACGGAATCGTCCGTTAAAGGAATATACTTAAAGATACAAAAAGAAGATAACGAAAATGTTGTGACAGGCTTCTTACCAGCGGGTCACATGGCCCCATGCATCCAAGTCGGTAGCTTACTGGCATCGAGACGCGCTCCTGGGGATGTAATCTCGGCACTCGTGTTCGCCACAAAACCGACTTTAATATTGTCACGCACTTTTGTGACGCAAGAGAAATACAGGAGCTTCGACTCATTAAAAGTAGGCAGTTGCATTCCATGCACAGTCCGAGACATATCGCAAAACGGCGTAAGAGTTATCTTACCGATCGAAAATTACTCAAAATTTGGTTTTGTATCGTATAAAAATGTAAGTAATTTCGAGCAGTTGTGCGTGAATCAGATATTATTTGTTAAGATCACAGGTATCAATAGACAAGAGAAGCAGCTGACTCTAACGATGTCGTTGAAAGACGTATGGGAGAGCCCGTCTGAATACGAAGTCAAGATGATGGCGGCGGTGGATGTCTTGAGTTTATACCTTAGCAAATTTTCGGAGCTAGCCAAGAACACATTTTACGAGAACAAGCCGATCTCGTCGGCAATTTTAGGTCAAAAAGTTACTGGTACTGTTAAGAAGATAACTGAGGACGGTCTAGTGCTTCAATTAAGCAATCAATTGATGGGTACGGTACGCAAGGACCATTATTCCGGCAATCCTCAAGTGGGGGACCAAGTGTTTGGTACAATCCTGTGGAAGAATTACATCCACGAACTCGTCGACGTATCGTTGCTACCGAGAATAATAAACGGCATTAGCTCGAAGCAGAAAACGTTACCAGACCTACCAACTGGAATTACGTTAAAAGCAGAGATTCTGATGATTACTAAATGGTTCATACTTGTTCTCGTGAAACGTAACGGCGCGGGATATCTGGCGGCATTACCCGCTCACCGACATGCGAATGATAATTCTCCCGATCTGACGCCTTACAAAATTCACGCAAAAATTCGATTATACGTTATAATGAAGGGAACTGAATCTTGTATTGTCCCGATTTGTATGCTAAAGTCTGCATTCGAAATTCCGAAGGACACGATCGTGACAGAGCTATCTTCTACCAAGAAGGAACAATTGAAGAGAAAGAAAATATCTGAGCCACACAATGCAGATGTTGCAAATCCACCGAAAAAAGCGAAGGAAGTTCCGAAGAAAGTGTCGAAGAAAGAAGATGAGAAGAAAAATAAAATTCAAGTTACAGAGGAAGAGAGTAGAATAAAAGATATAGATGAAAATTCCGAATCAGATTCTGTTGACGAGAGTGAAACAGAGGGAGCGAGTAAGTCGGCGGTGGAAAAATTGCACATTCCGGAATGCGGATTTTCTTGGGATGGCAAAGCAAAATTGGCTGTTTCCGCTAATGCTGAAACGTCCAGCGACGACGAGGAAGAAGAGAAACCTGAAGAGGAACCTAAGCGGAAGAAAAAAAAATTGAGTGCGGCTGAGCGGCGGGAACAGGAACGACAGAAAGAACGCGAGATTCGTCAGCGAGAGGAAGCTCTGGCGAGCAGTCAGGCACCCAATTCAATCGATCAGTTCGACAGATTAATTTTGTCGAGTCCCGATAGCTCGTTAGTGTGGCTGCAATACATGGCTTATCATTTGCAAGCCACGGAGATCGACAAGGCGAGAACGGTCGCAAGACGGGCAATCAAAACGATTAATTTCAGAGAGGAAAACGAACGTTTAAACGTGTGGAACGCGTGGCTCAATTTGGAATCCAGATACGGCACCGCCGAATCCCTGAACGACGTATTCCAAGAAGCTGTGAAGACGAACGACGCATATAAAGTATATACGCACATGCTAACTGTACACGCGGATTCCGATAGAAAGGCCGAACTTGAGAAATTGATAAGTACTGTGATCGGCAAATTCAAACAAGATTCCCAGACATGGATAGACTGCGGTGCCGCGTTATTGAAAGTTGGCATGAAAGAAAAGTCACGGCAAATCATGCAACGGGCATTGCAATCCTTGCCCGTATCTCAACGTAAGCACACGTCAGATTTTTATATTATTTATCGTATTTTAGTATTATAATTTTATTATATGTATATTTAATAAAACTATGGGACGTGATTGCAGATGTGAACCTGCTGGTAAGATTTGCGAATTTAGAAAACAAATTGGGAGACAAGGAACGAGCGCAAACGTTATTCGAAAATATTTTGAGTTCTTATCCAAAACGCGTCGACGTATGGTCGTGTTATGTGGATTGCTTAATAAAGTCCAAAGACATCGAATTAGCCAGGTATGTCTAAATAAGTTCTATCGTTTCATTGATATGTTTATTTCAGACCCAAGTATCATATTAGTTATTTAATAAATTTTTCGCTTATTTCGCAGAAAAGTATTGGAACGAGCATGCGTCCAAACGCTTCCACCGAGGAAAATGAAAACTCTCTACACGAAATTTATAAATTTTGAAGAGAAAAACGGTACACCCGAGGCTGTAGATCGTATACGACAGATGGCTGCAGATTACGTGGAGAAACATACATAAACAATGTTTCTATTTTATAAATAAATGTTACAAGCGAGTAGAATATTTTTCTATGTTACGTACTATATTTAAATAGAAATCCAGTCTTTCTTTATCTTCTATTTTTTTTTTATTATCTTTCTCTCCATTATGAATTTTCAAAATTTTCTGCACAAACTATACATTCTATAGACTGGAGGTATTCCGAGTGGATGTTTGTAATCTGGGGAGATTTGAGGTTATGTTAGATTAGGTTAGATTGACTTGTTTTGATCGAGTTTTTATGCGAATTATAAAACTGTAAAAATGAGTGAAAGAAATGAAAATATGATAAAAAATGGCACTGGAGGGAAGGAAATGGATTTTTGCAAAGAGGAAATTAAAAGCATCGTCTGCAGAAAGGATTTACATCCATATTTTGCACATAGTGATCACAGCGTTAATGAGGTTTACTTTTCGGAGGTAAATATACTTTTGTAATAGAATATTTTCGTATGAATAAAATAAAGAAAGAATGGATGAAATACATAATTCTATGTATTTTACATCTGACAATCCTGGATATGTCCTGGAATGTAAAAATAAATGCATTTTGCACATTTTTATAATTATTACAAATTATTGTTCATTTGTACAATTTGATCTTTTTTTTTTATAATTTATACAATCTCATATATTTTACATTTAATCTGCTGTAATATTTCATTTTACAAAAATTTTGTAAATATTGTTGTGGAGAAGGAGAGCAAATATTAAAAGAAAGATGTATGTTTGTTTATTGATGCAAAATAGGTTCCCCAAATCTGCAAGGACGAACCATGTCAACTTGGAGTGGATGAGGCGGGTCGCGGTCCAGTTTTAGGCCCAATGGTCTACGGGATCTCATATGCTCCATTGTCTCAAAAGCAACTGCTGGTCGATCTAGGCTGCGCTGATTCCAAGAGCCTGACGGAGAAGAAACGCGACGAGATATTCGATGATATCTGCAAGCATAAGAATAATATTGGATGGGCGATCGACACGATATCGCCAAACGTCATTGCCAACAGCATGTACCGTCGCACGAAAATCTCGCTGAACGAGGTTTCCATGATGTCGGCTACAAACTTGATCCAGCGAGCGATCGAGTCAGGTGTGAACGTTGCCGAGATTTACGTGGATACCGTCGGCAAACCTGAATCTTACCAGGCGCGACTGATAAGCGTGTTTCCCGGCGTCAAGATAGTCGTGGCTAAGAAAGCCGATGCAACTTATCCAATCGTCAGCGCGGCTAGTATATGCGCCAAGGTGTCGCGAGATCACGCGATACGAGCGTGGCGGTTTCGCGAAGGTGAGAACATCGAAATGGAGTACGGCAGCGGATACCCTACCGATCCGGTGACTAAAACTTGGCTGTCCGCGAATGTAGATCAGGTGTTTGGCTTTCCGCAGCTCGTTCGATTCAGTTGGTCCACTGCCGAACAGATTCTCGAGTCAAAAGCATTGACAGTAGAATGGGAGGAAACGGAGGAGATGGAAACTCCCAATGAGCAGAAGATTTTCAAGTTTTTCGCCAAGTCTCCAGTTAAGTTGTCTAATGTTCACATGAAAAAACATCCATTTTTTACGGAACGTTGTTTGTCTAACGCAACTATCTTATGATCTTATTTGCTTTATGTTGATTATTCTTTCTTTCCCACATTGTAGTTTTGTTTCTCATATGAGATTTTAAAGATCGTAAGACAAATTTTTATAGGAATTATTATATATTTAGCTTTAGTAATAAATTCAATACTAATTTTTATAATTAATTAGAGCATATACAAGACATTCGGAATAAAAGGGGTTACGATCTAAGAATGAACGTGTCTTCTTTCGACCGACTCATATTGAAGATACATAATAAATATTCAACATTCAACTTTCGATATCTTTCATTACAGTTTTATTAGATCGATGTACAGTACATTTTGGGAGAGATTTACGCGATTTACTAAAGAAAATATTTCTGCAGGTTAAAGATTAACGATATCATTTTTCTTTATAATATTGATATTACAGCGTGTTACCTTGGAACGATATACATATGTACAAGAGCGAGTGTCTTTACAGCTACCATAGATAAAGAATGTGGCAAGTTTCATTTACGAAACCTCTACACACCGTGTCACCGTGTGATGATTAATTAACAATTAGGAAAGCTTAGCGTGAAAAGTTCGAAAATCTTTGGTAAACGCACGCTACACAGTCACACACGTCATACAATTATTCCTAGGATATTATCTTGTTAACATACGATTAATAGCGACTAGATCGTTAAGGGCTGTACTGTATGGTAGCGAACAGAAACGACGATTTGTTTTGTTTGCGTTGCGTCGCTGCCTCTACTTGGTTGTACATATGTACTACTAGATTCTCGATTCGTGTTTATTTTATTGATTTACAGAGGCACACACACGCGCGGCGTGTAAGTACAGCATCGTGTGCGTCCCCGTTTTCTTAACTAAATATCTGCAATCGAACACGTGCAGTATGTACATACCGATGAGTTAATCTTATCGAATAAAATGACATAGATATTTTTAAGTATCTAATCTTTTTTTTTTAGTAAATATATTTAATAAAAAAATAACGAGACTAAAAAATTTCTTAATAGCATAAACTGCATGCCGATGTTCAATTCGAGAATTTGCAGAGAATTTCTTCGCGTTACAGTTAAATCGTTAATATTATATTGTCTTGAAACTCAGTAAAACGCACTTGTGCGTTCTATCGCTCCACAGACGTGGCATGGTTAATGAAAATTCAATAAAACGCGCCACAGTTTGCACGGCAGATATGCGTTAGCCATACACAACGAATAGTAGTAGACGAAGTATACACGCGCGTATGTGCACCTGAAGAAATTGATTTATGTACTTTACGCATGAGTCATCGCAAGCAATGTAAAAAAGTCACAATTCCAAATTTTCACGATGAACAAGATCAGTACGTGGCAGTGCATATAACCTTTCAATGAATATATATGATAATGGAACAACAGACTTGTCGTGTCTCTCACGCACTATACGCAAGATATGTATACGCAAAACGCTGTAATTTATGTTACGCAAAAATGTGGAACAACCAAATCGTCGCAAAATTCCGATAATTTTTTTTTTTTTTTTTTTCATATATTAGCCCTGGAAAAAAAAACGAATCCATATCGTTTCTTTACAACGAAAACTTCCCCTCATTCATTCGAGTAAAGTCTAACATAGTTCGATAGTGTGTCGTCTGCCTACGATTATTACGTGACTCTCTAACTCCACTAATTGCAATTATAAAAAATATAAACAACATGGATAATTTTATATTATGTAATCATATCGCGTTACGAGAGTGGCTTCCACAGGCCTAGAGGGTGAGCACGAAGGGCGAGTGGTATCCTTAATCCTTACCGCAGCATCAGTAAACCCATGATCACCAGCACAACGCATGGTCCTCCTAACGCTCTACTTCCATTCGCTGAAAAAAAGAAATAGAGAAATTATATTATATTAAATTATATTATCCGCGCATTTCCTGAAAGAGGGACCTTTCATAAATATTCAGGAAAAATTCAAAGTTCGAAATTGAAGCTTGCAAGCTAAGCGAGTTTGCGGCTAAAACGATTTACGCTTAAGCGCGTTGTAAAAAATGGCCGAATTAAAAGGGAGTGACACAGATTCCCTGTCCGCGAAAAATGAATTCTTAATCTTTCGATCGCTCGCGCGCGCGTCTGTGATTCGGCTTGTCACAAAATGCCTTCCTTATTTCCCCTTAGAGTTGTGTCCCTGATGTGGGTTTTGCGCGAAACGAGTTACGTGTTTACGCTTTGGCTTGCGCGATAGAACTAAAACAGCGTATCGGGGAGAAACGACATTGAGTTGCTAAACTATCCGCGCCGTCAGGACGAGCTTCAAGTTGGAGATGTTAACACCGAAAGGGTTGGGATCCATTATTTTGGTCGCTAAGCCCCTTCTCACACGGCCACAAAGCCTATACTTTTTGCGGACTTGTAATCAATATTAACGACGTGAACTGTGAAAAATGTCAGTTTTTTTTCACGGACTTGAAAAGCGATTCTTATCCCTCTTTATACCCGAGATAGGTAATGGCTCTTCATACCAACCCTCGTGTTTCAATCCTTTCGATAATAAGGTAAATAGATGCAGTCACTCGGAGAGTTAATATTCCGATGTTGGACAATATTGTTTTAAAAATATTATTTTAAACAAAAATTAATACACAATTGGAAAATTTTGTATTGAATTTAACACATCATTTAACAGATGTCTCAATCAATCGATCCAAATTTTTATATTAATTTAACATAAGATCGATATGTTAGGAAACAACACAAACATTATGTAAAAATTAACACAAAAAATGTTACATTTGATATAATTTAAAGATAAATTGTGGAAATATTTATTCAGCAAAAAATTAACACTTATAATATATTAAATTAACACGGACATCTTTTGTTTAGTTATCTTAGAATTTACGTTTTAAAGCTATATTATTTTTGTTAAACATTAATTTACACAAACACAAAAAAATATTCAAATTAACATAATTGTATATTAAATTTACACTTGGATATTCAAAAAAATCCAATATAAAAATTTAACACATTTGAATGAACCGTTTTTAACACAATAAGATAGAACAAATATTTTTCTCTACTGTGCATTTAAGAAACATGTAATTAAAATCCAAATAGTATAGTAAGTAAATTGTTTAATTTTATTTATCAGCTTTGACTCACAATCTTTTTTTATTCTTGTATCGTGTTGTAACATATTGTCCAGAGACATTTAATTATCTAATTAGTTTTATATCGAATAATTGAGAAAAAGTTATCTTTTATGAATTTTGAACATTTTCCTTCCTACATAGAATTGACAAGAGCAACTAAATTAAAAGACACGACAAAGAAATCCGTGTTCGTGCGGCGGAGCAGACATTTCACCCTTGTCATCTACCCTCTGCAGTCAAGGGGCCGGCCGGGAGATTTCTTTTTTTACCTAGGATATGCTCGGCGTGCGTGTGCCCTTGCGCCCTTGTCTCCCTGCTCTCCATTACCGGTATCTTCAGAGGCCTCTCACCCTCTATGCTGAGCTCATTCGATTTCCAATATACGGTATATATCCTCGCCAGGCATTTGATCTTCAAGTCTCCCTTCTTGAAGTGCTTCAAGCGCAGACGGAACTCTAGACCGAGTGTGGAGGTCTCCAGATCGTTCCGGTCTATGTCGACGGGGTAGAGCCTCAAGAACTGCTGCTCGACCTAATCGAAGTGAAGAAGCGGAACTGTATATTCTCTTTCTTTCTCTCTCTCTCTCTCTCTCTCTCGATTTAAACGATAATGATGACGACGACGACGATACGGACGTTCTCTTTGTCGTCGAAAATATTTGCGAGCGCGTAGTCATCGTCGTTTAAATCTTTTCGGATACATTGTTTGGGGCGACGTGTATCTAAAATTTTCATATTTAGTTTTCTTGAAGAGTAGAAATGTTAAAGAGATCCTTTCTCAATTCTAAATAGAAATTTTACCCAATAAAAAACATTATATGAAAACCTAATCAAAATCACGAAAGTTGGAAATTTATCCAACAAAATAAAAAAATCAGGCGAATGAAAAATAATGATGAATTGAATTGTGATGAGAATTGATGAAATTAATTGGAATATTAAACTGGAACCGCGACAAGATAACGTTATACTCAATAAACAATAATTTTAGTAACAATTAAGCAAATGAGCGATATTGACTTTCTAGATTATCGAGCGAGATTATCTTAAGAGTCACTTTAATATATTCTTAAGACACATATTCTTTTCTTTTTTTTTTTTAATAAAATGTAATAACGTCGTCTGTGCTTATCATCGCAAATTAAATACACTGCATTATCTGTCTAATCTACTTCGTTCCAGGAAAATTGACTCTTGACCCGCGAGCTCCCTGAGAGCACTATATAAACTTTTAATATCGTTCAGCAGAAGATTGTTATCTCTCTCATTAAATTTTGTGTTACAACTTCTGTGACAAAAATTAAGAAGTACCCTAACATACGGATACTAATTCTAATCATGATAATGGAATTATTCAACGTTCCATCTCTTTGCACGCGTTACAACATTTTCCACGTTAGACGCAAATTTCATATTTTTCTTAAGATTGTATTAGCTGTACATGAAAATGATGAAACAAGTTAATGAAATTTACTTATTGTTGTATAGAAGATAGATTTTAGGCATACGATTTAGACATATACATGTCTAGTTTCAAAACATTTCACTTTTAAAACGGTTTACAAGCTCTTAAAAGTTATTGTGATTATTAAGTTACTATCCTTATTTACTAATAGGTAGAACACATAAGTCATAATGATATCATAAGGACGTCATCATGACTTTGTTTGTCACTTATAAATATGTACAATATATGTCACTTTTTGCTAAGATTGTATAATCAATACAATCTTTAATTTACGCCGTAATTTACAGGATGTCCTCTCTAAATATTGCAGATAAAGATTATTTTCTAATCTAGCGTTTTTCAAGCCTTTTCAATTCGTGGCACATTAAATGACAATTATTCAAATTTATCGAGGTGCACCGAGAGCTATCTTTAGATACATACGTTTTAGCGCTCAACATAGATTTTTTATAGGATACCATAAACAAGACGTTCAAAAATAAAACGTAAAATTCTAAAGTTTTTATTTTTATCTCATCGTTTTTAAAATGATTTTATTGCAATGAAAATATTATTTTCATTAAAATGAGAATAAACGTAACATAATTTCGGTGATTTTTACAATTTAAAAAATATTTTATATTTCGCGTCTCTGACTCGCTTTTTTTATTTCTAAATTTCTCGATTTTGTTTATTTTCTCAAATTTCTAAAATTTTGGGGGCAATTTGAAGAATGCCTTTGCGGCATACTAGTGTGCTCCGTAGCACATCGGTTAAAAATCCTGCTCTAATCTAAGATTATCGATTCGAACAATCGATTAAATGTAATACCAATTTTAATAAGCCACGAGGTAACACGAATGCTAAAAGACTAATCAGGCAATTTTGAATGCGCGCGAACGTCCGCTCGCAACACCCGAAGATTAATTACTCAAGAACCAATTATTTGTTCACACATGAAAAATGAAAAAGCTCCGCGCGCACGCCATAGAATGCACTTTGCAAAATTAATCCTCGAGCTTTGTTAGCGCGTAATCGCGGGTCAACGAGACATTAACGGTCACGTTGGTCATTGCAGAGGTGCGTTATTTTTGCGGAAGAACAAAATTCGCGACGCGACGCAAAACTTTTGACAACGCTTAAAAGAGGAGAGAGAGAGAGAGAGAAACTAAGAGAGGAAAAAAGCGAGAGGGACTGTTATGACTTTTCCTTGGCGTATAGTAATATGAAAGTGCGCTTTTACGGACGTAACTTCGTAGCATGTAGGTATCACGATGACGGTAAAACATGATGTATTACACGGAAAAAGTCTTTATTAAGATAGACGTGACAGTTTAACTTTGACACTTACAGAAATATCTGATGAATATTTTAGAATCAGAATTCTTAAGTCGTGAAAAGAGAAGTCTCTTTAAATTTTATTTCAATTAAATTTAACTTAAAATTTAATTATTAATATATATGTAGATGATGGGAATAGAAAAAGAAAAATAAAATCTTTGATCTCTAATTATTATTATCATCTATCTTGAAAAAGTCGAAATAACATTGTGAGCTAGTTTTCATTCTTGGAAAATTGAGAAATGATTAAAATTAAATACGTAACATGTAATATGGAAAACGTTTCTGGTATAATAATAATACTTTGACTGATTAATACTTAATGAAATTAGAGAATTCTAATCGTAGATAAGGCCTCTTCCCGTTATTTAACTGCATCGTGCGTAAGCGCGCATGAATCCGTAGAGTACTCTGGATGGATTTGCTGGGATCGTGGCTTATCTCGGACGTCGGTGACGCGAAACTTTTACACTTCCGACAGCCTGAGAAGACATTCACGATTGCGGTACGCAGGCAGAGAAGAGAGAGAGAGAGAGAGAGAGGGGGGGGGAGAGGAAGAAGAAGAAGAGAGAGAGAGACACTTCGCGTCTCGAGCACTCACGGGGTCGCCGTTGATGAACCAGCTGAGCGTGGCATGTGGCTTCGACTTCGCCGAAGTGCAATTGAACCGCACGACGTCGCCGACTTGATAACGATGTTTCCCGGGTCGCGCGGTGATAACGGGCTCGTCCTCCGGTAGGGCTGGAAATATGTAGATGCACGTAAAATAATCTGTTGTGCGACAAAAAGAACGTAATGTTCTTCGATTAGACCGAGCGGGGCACGGGCTTTTAACTTGTACGCCCGCTCGAATATTTTAACGCAATACCGCGCTTGAACCGTAATTTTGTTGTGGCAAGCTTAACTTGTTTACGCTTACCGGCACGGAAATTTTAATGGAGTAACACTTCGCCGTAATCATTGCACTCGATATAACGCATTTAACTTTATATACGCTATATACAGATATATAAAGATGTGCGCAGGGTAAAACCGGCTGGCTGGCGCAAAAACTGGAGCGATTGGGATCTTGTTCCTCGGCAGAGAGAATAAATAATCAAATCCGTCCTGGATTAAAAAGATTGGGTAGGAAAACCAACGACGGGTCTTATTTAGATTTAAACTCTAAGGGCTCCGCACAGTTGCTGTGAAAATTCTTTCAATCGATATTTATTTAATAATTTTCGTACGAATATTATTAATCAAGAGTTCAATTTGTGATGAATGTAAGCGTTGGTAATACTCGAACTAGAAATGAATAAAAATGGAAGAGCATGGACAGATTTCAACGAATTTAATGTTCACGAGAAAAATTGAGATAAATAATTGTGCAAATATCGGTTTTGAGTTTGTCAATGTCCGTGGCTGAAGGAAAATGCTCCACTTATGGTGTGCGCACGACGATAATAAGGTAAGATTAACGAAAAACGTTTCAAATGAAGGTCACAGTCGAAAGTCGCACAGACACTTTACTGTCGCGGAATGAATTGTCAGTGATTCGTCGTCACTAGACCGTAGATCGATATTTTTGAGGGGGCAGATAACATTCCCTTTTACAGATCAAAGCCGACGTGACGAAATTAACTCTTTCGGAGGTATTGGAACTGCGATTCGTTTTAATTCTCGCGTTAAGTGGCTTATGAAATCTTCAAAGCCGTTAAAATTCCTAATCCTGTGGCGGAAAATCTTCTCTTCTGTTCTTTTTCTTCTTCTTCTTGAACGTGGAACCGAAATCCCTTCCGTTAAATGACACATATAAATCTTTGTCTCGGAATTAAACCGTTCCAAAATATATTTCACACCGCACGATAAGTGTGATAAATCTCTCTTTCGCGATTTTTGATTTTATTATTCGAGCGTGAATAAAATCACGATTAGTCGGCACAATTTCTTTTCCCTCCTCTTCCCTTTTCCTCGGTCGGCCTCGATGATAACAACATTTGCTTATAATGAGAATCGGCGAGGAAGAATAGTGGAGCACTCTAATAGGGATAAATCAACGACGCAATATCCCCAAATTTGCGGCCTCGAGTTGCTGTTATTGCGCGATTTCTTCGAAAGATAAAACTCTTAATTAATACGAATCTGCTTGTCATCGCTCCTTACCGATTACTGTCATATCCGAATGGTCGGAAACGGTCTGGAAGAATGGCGCCTCCGCCGAAACCTCGCATCTGTAGCGTCCCGTGCTCATGAGGTTTACGGAATTTAAGACGACCGTTCGTTGAGTGGAGTCGTGAACCTGAAAGACAAAAGAGAGAGGTAACGCTGCGACACAATAGCCAATTCGTTAAAAACTTGATAAACTGACTTGATAAAATACATGGGGCTAGAATTAAAATTTTCTCTAATACAATTCGTTCATTTCTATGAACGCCAAGAAATAAATAAAATAGAAAAAGAAAGGAAAGAATCACGTAAAGTTTCAATTATCTCATTTTACTGTTAAATTTCGTTATTTTCACAATGAATTTCTTATATCGCGTATAGTAAATCTCGCACTTGCAATATTCTTTTCGAGAAACGACCGAATTAAGTGTTTAGCTTTCAAGTTGCCTTTCTAAATCTCGATGAACAAACAAATAAAATCGAGAAATAATATATGTATATTTACCCTTGGCGCGAAATAAAACTCTTTCCGTGACTTAACTTCGCTGCCGAAATTTCCCCTTTGACAGTCCAGTGAATCACCCCCCGGGCACATACAAAAGGCGCATAGTTTTCATGCCGTTCGGGGAGAACCGGAATTTTTTCGTATCACTCAATGGCGCGGAAAACCGAGCGAGTGATATAGTCGGCGAGGAATTGAAATTATTGGAAATATCATTAACCCAAAAGAGGGAGGACGCGGCTAGGAGGCTAGGAGAGGGAGGAGCGGCTCCCCCCTCGGGATCAATTTGTAATGCGTTATCTTTTGCGGTGGTAACGACGACGACGACGTCGACGACGACAAGGACGAAAGGCAATTTTAGACGTGCCTGACGACGACGCGCTTAACGAACAACGTCCCCGCATTAAATTAGTTTCGCGAAGAACGCGGGGTGGGAGTGGGAGAAAGGGGCGGTGGAGGAGAGAGAGAGAGAGAGAGATCGGGTCATCGTCGTCGGCATCCTCGCAATTTTCATCTCCGCGCGCGGGGGCGAGCATTTCACGATTCATTATACTAATCGATGTAATTATAAACAGCGATAACGACCGGGTAGACCGATAATTTCTAAGGGCGCTCCCGAGCGCCAATCTCGCGCGGTGATTAATGTTAATATTAAGGCTCATTATGACCAAGATCGCGTGCCAGCGGTCGCCCCGTCTTTGTTTATTCGCCGCTCGGCGCGCATAATGCAGCATTAATCCGACGTCTTGACGTGAATGGAAAGCCATTTTGGCTGCGCGCGCGCGTGCTCAAGACGGGAATTTCGGGAAAGCCGCTCCCTGTGCATGCGATACCTATTTATTTATGTATGGAGGTACGGAAGCGAGTTCCTTCTGCAAACGTCGCTCACGATCGCGGCACGTATGAACGCTTCTCGATGAAGAGACTTGAAAACTAGAGTTTCAAAAATGTGACATCTACGATTTTTATTATTGCCAAGCTTGCATCGCTGTTTTTATTACCATTTGCATCGCGCGCGGTGCATGCTTGTGTATTACGTTCGCGCGTAGCGAATTTCGCGTCGTCGATCGCACGCTCGTATTCCCTAACTAGTTTACGTTTTGCCCTCCTATTTGTTTTCCGATTGGGAAAAATATCTCGAGCGAACGGTTCGCGCGCGATTTATTTTTAAACGACACAAATATGAAGGTGCAAGTCCGAGTTTTGCCGCATCGAATACTGAGAGTTCGGATTTTGGCTCCCGCAGGTGATTGACGTGCGTTTAAGAATCCAAGTCCGGAACGTAATCAAAAGTGGGTCAATCATGACGGCGCGGCGTCCCAGGGGGACGCGTGCTTCCCCCGACAACTGAAGAATGGGAATGGCGCGAAATCAAAACACCGGGAGAGCTTTCTTTTCCGGGGGCTTCAATCGTCCGCTCGCGTTTAAGGCGATTCATGACGATCAATCGGGCCGCACGTATATACATCGGACGTAAAGCGTGAGAATTGGATAAGGATTCGGCGCCGAGAACAAGCGAAAAGTCGTATTCGACTTCGGATGCAAGGATCGTAGAAGCCGGAGACTGGCCCGACCTTACTACTTAACAATTTATGTCGCTCTTACGCCGAACCCTTCCAATTTTGTTCGTCGCAAAGTGTTGATGTCGAGAATTGAAATTTACAGAACCCATTTTAATGTGATAAAAAGATTAAGGTAAAGGCACTAATTTTGGTTTATCCTAAAGATAAAGATTCATATTTTTATCTAGAAAAATATCAGATAATTAATAACATATTTAATAGTTGTCATTAATTGTAAAGAATATGTACTTTATGGATAATTTTATTCAATTTCAGTATTATTTTATATTTTGAATTTCAATTTAATAAAATAATAAAAATTATTCACAATTAGACTCTTGGATCTAGTTACAGACCAGACTATTCGCAAAGTATATTACATTTAATTTTAACTGAAGATGAATAATGTTGATTTTTTTCCATTTTTAAAATCTAATACTATTTATTACCTTCTGTAAAAGCCATAAGGCAATCCTTATAAATATTAAATAAATTTGAATAAATTTTGAAAAAATGTTTACATCTAAATTTATTACTTAATGATATTAATAAAATGTGCAGCGTTGTTGCTAATAATCAAGAAACAATTGACGATTGATAAAACTAACATAAATGTTAAAGAATCTCGATGGAAAATACAATGACTATTTTGAATATATTATCCGGAAAAAAACTAGCATTCCATTATCCATATTTAGTGTCCTTACTCTATACCTGCGAGATAAGTCTTACACATAGATTAGGAACTAGATTCGTTTCTTTCAACTAAAGTTTAGCCCAAAAGAAAAAAAGAAGGGAAAGAAAGGGAGAAGTTAGTTATCCTTACGATTGGCGTGACACCGGGATGGAGGAACACCAGAACAGGTGGCTTTTCCTGAGGTACAAATCGGTAGAACTCGTTGCCATCCTTGTACCACTTGACCGAGTACAGCTTCTCGTCGTCCAGATTAAAGTTGCACTCGAGGCTTACATTTTGCCCGAACACCGCGTGCTGTGGCACTATCAGCTCCAGCATCCTCAGGCCGTTTGTTTCTGCAACACACATTGGAGGTGGATGCGAGATCAGAGGAAAGACTCACGAGGGCGTATGCTTGTGTTGAATGTTACGCGAACGCGAGACAACAGGTTTTCAACGGGAAGATCTTGCTTAAGGAAATTAAACTAGACACCAGGGTAATTGGAGTAACAGTTTTCGCAGCTGTTTTTGTGGAACGTTTAATTCTACTGTTGAAAACAAATATCAGTAAAAGAGAGTAATAGCAATTCCTAATTAAAACATCAAAAAGAATAAGATATATTGTCGCATTTTATAGAATCACAGCGCATTCTGATTTCCTTCTCATGAATTAAAAGAGATTAATATAAATTAATATAAATAAAAGTTTTTTCACTTTTAAAATTAATTTCCTTAAATTTTTAAATTGTTATTGTTGGTGTTACCAACAATTAATTACTTAGATCCTTTCTCTCTAATTGCAATCAAAATATACGATAATACATATTCGCTATTTAATCTTCAACAAATAAAGATGAACAATTAATTTCTATATTTAATATAATCCATATTTTTTATACATTACTATATTTATTATGCGTTATTTTTTAAGGTTCCAATTAATTATCTTGAAATCAGAAACATTAATCAAACATATTTTAAATAGAATAATAGTTAGGTGTATCGCTGTCTAAACCTTTAAAAATATATGATGAAACGCGCATGAAACTTATTCTTCTGACGAAAAAAAATAAGATAACTCGAGCGCGTGACCCAGGAAGATCGTGATCCCCCCTTTTGCGAGATGCGCGACGTTCGGATGATGTCACTCGAAGAGGGAAGAGCAGATCAAAGGAGCCGCGAGAGACGATGCGGCGAAAGGGGGCGAGCAAGATGTACTGCGACACGCGCCTGTCTTTTCAGAGGACGCTCCAACGATTCGAATCACTGAGAATATTCCACGAGAATAATATGTAATCCACCAAAACCTACCGTGTGCTAGTAGGAGAGAAACGGGGGAAGGACGCGAGAGAGAGAGAGAGAGAGAGAGAGAGAGAGAGGAAGACAATCTGCGGTGAACGCGTCGACGGAGCCCAAGAGTAGGAGGATGATGACGATAACGTCAGGTAAACAGGTGGTTGCTGCGAACAACGACGACGTCTACGACGTTTATAAACAAGGTATTAATTTCTTGACACGCTCTTGTTCACGAGCAAGGCGAATTAAATGTTTGTTTCGAATAACGGCATCGTATTTCTCGTCATTGTATGCAGTTATTGATGAGACCGAGTATTATTAGGCGAAAAATAGGACATTTCACATATGAAATATTTTGAAATAATTCTGTGGAATATTGGTTAACGATATTTTTGGACGAAACTAAAAGTTTCATAACTTTCAAATATTTCTGAAGAAAGAAAAGCAAACGACAATGGATTATTGACCGAAGAAGACGTCAGAGAGAAATTTGTAATTTATTAATTTTTTCTTTTTGTTTAATGATATTAGACTAATCAATTGACAATTTTTCTAATTTATCACGTTAATATTTAGCAATTGGCAAAATTAAATAATAAAGTTTGTTCTTTTTTAATTCAGTATTCGGAGGCAATACGAAGGTATCCGAGTGATCGTATTTTTGATGAGAGAGACGTCAATAATTCGAAAACGCGCGAAACCGTTTCAAAGCACCGCAACCGGCTTGGAATTTCCAGTGCAACGGGTTAAGTGAAAATGTACTTTTGATTGCCGCCTTCACGGTGGACAGAGGATAAGTACAAGGGATAAGCACAAAGGATAAGCGCAGGGAATAAGTGCGAGCATGGGCGCCGCTAGAATTTTTTCCCCTTCTGGCTTCCCTGCTTCTCCTCGTGATTATTTCAATTATCCTGCTAATAGCGTACAGTAAAATTTCTTGCCTCTATAACAAGAGTTCCATGAAAATTATAATGAAGCGGTATTTCTCAACCGGACTTTTCTTTTTTATCTCGCGACGCACCATGGAAAAGCAAGGAAGATTGTGTCTCGGCGCCCATGACCGCGTCGTGCAATTTCTGGAACGACAAGGGATAAGAAATAATTCCTGCGCTTCGTTACGTCCGCGCATTGCGAAGACGAGGAAACTGGCTTATAGCTTCCGGCAGGGTGACCATATTTTCCTGCAAGTAGGACAATAGCGCGGTAAAACCAAGAGACCATTCCCAGAATTGAAAACTCTATTAAATTAAATTATGAGGATTAAAGTTAATTTAACTGATAAATTGAGGGAGACTTTTCTCCTTCATTAAATGTCGACATGTAGATTAAAGAAAAAATTTTCGGCCCATTTACGCACATTCCTTTTCAAATTCCTCTTGGCTTTGTCTCTAAAGCAAGAACCAGAACAAGAACATGAAGTACTTATTGTTAGCAAAATGCAGTCCTATTATGGCAACGCGTGGCATTGCACGCTATGGATAATCGTAGGAGCTACTGGATCACGTTGCACGTCAAAACAAACGGTCGAATTCTCACGCGTGTCCACGTATTTTTTACGCGTATTTATCCGTACAAAGGAAGTGCATGCTGCAACGAGAATCGAACTATGTCGATACCATATCATCTTTTTTTCGGTCCTCACCGTCACGCTCCATTTAAAAACGAAACTCTCACGCTAAATTCGTTCGCGGAAACCGCGATAGGTTGTCGTTAATTAAAGTAAAAATAGAATTTCAGAATAAAAATAAAATTGAAAATATTAGAAGATACAAGGAATATTATTTATATTGCAAATATGTCGCTTGTCTCGAGAACTTACTTGAAAATCAATCAATAAATAAACTATTGAATAGATAAAATCCTCGACGATTTCCTAATGTTTTTTTCCTTCGCTCCAGGAATAGTTGACGAATAGTTGAACCGCTAATTTGCGGTGTCAGAGTTAATGCAATTGTCTCGAATGATATTTCCACGTTAAACGGGAATCGAATACGGTACGCGCTAACGGCATTATCGGTTTTTCGTCGGCGGAAATCTATTCCAATCGTAAACATAATTGATTGCATTATGCTCTCTATATATTCCAGAATTATCTTCGCTCTCGCGGAACTTGATTTTTCGCTTTTAAGTGACGACAGGTATGTACATTTAACGTTCTCGCGCATTTTCTAAATATATAATTCTTTCCGCTGAAAGATGATTCAAGAGGTTAAGAGAAATTCCTTAATAATTTATATCTTTATACAATTTATTGAAATAGAAATCAAATTTCGATATTTATGGCAACACTGGCTAAATCCATCGGGCTTGCTTATTTGCGCGTCGTGACTTTTTCACGTGAACGTCTCATAGCGTATATCGCGGCGCCGAGCAACTTGTTTAATAAATGTCCCCTGCAAATGTTATTTTATTATATAACGGCCGGGGCCGTGATGAAACCCCAACCTTTAATATCAGGAGTACGGGGGATACGATTCGTCATTTTTCACACACATACACACACACACACACACACACACACACACACTCTCTCTCTCTCTCTCTCTCTCTTTCTGCTCGTATGAATTATATTATACATAGCGCTTTATTCGACGCATTTCGACGTATTGGTATGATTTCGCATTGCGAAACGTATAATTCTCGAGATTAAATGACAAGTGACGCGCATCTCACAATCAGTACGATTCAGCTATTTTCATATATCAAGTAATGTACCACCATTACTCGTCATTCTAAACGTCATTCTAAATTTAGCTAATGAATTTCTGAAGATCGGTCAGTCTCTATTAATCTATTTAATATCACCGAGTTAAAGTTATTATTATTAGATATTAACACAGCCGTCAAATTAAATCACAAATGTCACTCTCGATGTCGCTCCCGTTGGATATCTCGGGTCTATTAAAACAATACCTTAGCGTGCCGTTATGTAAGAACGGAGGTATAAGAAATCTCGTAGGCAATTATTCCCAAGTATGCCGATAGGTACGCGCGGCATGATATAGACATTTACTTTTGCATCGCGTAACTCAACGCGACGTTGAACGCTTGACTCGAGTTTTTTCTCCTTTTTTTTTTTGTGAAGGAGAAGGGAGGAAAAAGAAACGCTTCGCGTGTTACGGCAGCGCTATGAAAGGACCGGCTTTAACAAATTGCCTTTTAACGACCCGATACCGAGCGATTTCGCCCCTTCGCCTCCCACCCCTCCGGACGCATTCCGCAATGAGCCCTATGTAGAAGACGGTTAATTTAACGTAAACTTTAACCTGCCGCTGCATAAGATATGCGTACATAATGAATTTGATCGTCCGCCCACCACCACTACCGTCTCTCCTTTTTTTTTCATTTCTCTGGGAGATGAATTGTACACAGAAGGGTCAGCGTCCATAAATTTCCGCCGATTTAACCCTATTATTGAAGATCGCGGGCGGTGCTGACCGTATCCAAACTCCGATACCGACCGTTCCCTTCTCTCCCTTTCTCCGCTCAACTAGGAATCTAAAAAATTCGTAAAATACGAGAGACTCGACGTAACTTCGTAACCACGCACGCCCGACTCTCAACATTGAATAAATTTTTGTTCTATTTTTATTAGAATAAAAAGGGCGGCATTAAATAGATATCTATATAGAGAGAAAGAAATAGAGAGCAAAAGGCGAGCTCTATTACATTTTATATTGTACTTTTCAATTCGCGCTACGTGAACAAAGTTTTCATCCCTTATTTGTTATTCGCGAATTTTTGCCTAGAATCTCGCAGCTATATAAACTTCGATCCGTTTTTAAACCCATTCTTCCTATTGTTCGTATGACATACTGTCGATATTTCGCAGAGAGAGAGAGAGAAGCTGCCGAATCGAATAGAATAACACTTACAAAGACGTGCGCAACCGTTGTTCAGATCCGCCGACGTAATGTCTGTAACAATAGCCGCAGTTTACACCTTACAATTCGCGGTAATGTGAAAAGTTACGTTGATTAAAAATTCCAAGGGGATAGAAACGTTTTACATCCCGAGTATCCCTCTCTGTAATGTTTATTATTCTCTTAATAAGCGTAAT